GCAAATTGTAAATAGGAAAAGTCGGAGAAATGAGTGGTCAATTAGTGATAACAATTTACACTGGCTAAGCATCTAAAAATGAAGAATAGAAGAGAAATATTCGAGGCAAAAATACTTCATATGATAGCACTTGTAATCTCAAAGAAAAAACAAGACTGAACAATAAATACTTGTTCTACCCATCGTTGGACCCGACTACACTTCGAAACTCGAAAAAGGAAGGATAGGAGAGACTATTTCCCCTTACTACACCTCGTTACTCTCTTTCTTCACGAGCTCTTCCAGATATGAGGATGATGATAAAATCATGGATCCGTCGGTACTATCTTGTTCAGGGGGTTTTGATTCGTGGACAAGTTCTGAACAAAAGCCATCACTTTGAGCATCACACCAAAAACACAAAAACAAACCTTCTTTATTCGGGACGAGGAGAGAAGTAGAAGCTTGGACATGTTCTGAGGGCAAATCTTTAGCGTCATCCGTTGCTTCCGCGAGAGCCTCCTTATGCATCATCCTAAGACGTTTGAGGTTCCTAGCAAGGATATTCACAACATTGCAATTAGTTGTTATAAAAAAAACATAATTTCATATGAAATATTAAGACCGATCCTCGAAAAAAAAAACTAACGTGTCGAAGACATGCGTTTCAAATCATATCATACCTCGCTATTGTGATTCGTCTATTACTGTAGCCTGAAGACGCATATATCAGTCGCATTTTCTGCCTCTCTTCCGCATCTCCCAATGTTTCATCATCGAAAGCGTCCAGGATTTCTCTATACACATCTCGGTTTCCGGTCGAAGCATATCGCGAATTCTGCTGCATTTCTCTCCATTTCTAAAAGCAAAACCTAGTGAAAATAGCCTTCGAAATCCGTAAGGGGACGACGCGACGTTTCAAATCCGCTCATTCCATTGGGATAGCATTTCTTTTGTCATTTTCAGCATATAAAAAGCTCATAAAAAAGCTTATGCCACAAACTCTTTGGTTTGACAGTAGCGGTCAGAAGTGTTCGCCTAAACGCTTCTTCATGCCCATTTCTTCCTTTCAGATAAAGCTCTGAATATTAGTTTAGAGCCTTTCTTCCAAATATCTAAATCCTTCAAGAGTGAAGCTTCCGAAGACTTTGAAGGGCATGTCTTATCAATGTTTGAAGGGCACTGTTTAATGGAGAAAAAAGAATGTTTAGGCGAACACTTTTGACTACAACTATATATGAAAGCCAATGAAGCACATATGTCGTAACAAACATGCCTTGTACACCAATCATTCCAGCTTTTCACGCATGTCAAGTGACTGCCCCCACCCCCCCCCCCCTAGACTGCCTACACTCCCCCTGGCCCACGGATTTCCGAACATGCCAGGCGAGCAGACTGCCGCGCCGCCGCGTGGCCCCCCCCAACTAAGTTAGCACCGAAAAAGTCTTGGTTTGGCGAAACTTTTACACACTATATATGAAGGCCCCTGCACATATGTCGTAACAAACATGCCTTGTACACCAATCGTTCCACTTTGTCTCTCAAGGAATCCGTTGGAAGACATATATGCGGTTCATCGCAAGGATCAAGACAGAAACCTCACCAACACCTACCTGAAAACATTTACCATATTATATACACCCTGGAAAATGTACAATGATACATACAGAATAAAATTGATAACCTTCCCTCGATAATATCAATTCTCACGAAGCAACAACATGGACTTTTATACACCATTACAAAGAACCAGGTGCTTGCAAAAAATTTGGAGTTATAAGAAATTATTTGAAGAGGTTAAGACTTTTACCTTCACGGTGACAAGAGCTCCCTTCCTCTTGCAATCTCGACATCGATACACGTCGTGGTTATGATTTGATCTTTTGAATAGGAATACATAGCAGTATTTCCCACCAGGGATTGTATATCGTAGGACATCGTGCTTTCCAACCATGCTTAACTCTCTCGTTCCAGGAAACCGTTGATTTGCACTTGATTTGCGTTTGCGTTTGCGCTTATAAGAAAGTGGGCGAGGTGGAGTAACAAATTGAGAAGCAAAGTCTTTAAAATCGTCAGACTGGATGTCTGGTACTTTTTCATTATCGAAAGAAGTGGAAGGCAGTTCCTCTGGAGCTACGTCCTTAGCGGACGTGGAAGGCAGTTCCTCTGGCGCTCCAACGGCTCGCGCAAGTCGAATTGGGAATAAAGGAAACGAGGAGGTTGGCCTGTGGATTCGTTCTTTTCTTAGCGGAGATTCGTGGGGATAAGGAGGTAATTTGTGAGACGGTATGGGTGGAGGTGAGGGGGGCAGCAGGCGCTGGCGAGGACTTGGTCCCGACAAAGTGCTGGAACGATTCGGTTTCGAATCGGTGGCAGAATCATTTGGCTTCGAACTGGTGGTAGAGCGACCCGCTGGCAGAGGAGGCTTCTGTTGAAGGCGATTGCAAGCAGCTGAGTATTTCTTTATGGCAGAATTATTTGGCTCCGAATAGGTGGCAGCACGAATCGTTGGCGATGGAGGTATCAGCCGAAGACGAGTGTAAGCAGCTGGGTATTTCTTTGTACGGACCGGAAGTCGTAGAGCAGGTGCAGGAGTTGGCTTGTTCGGAACGAGTCCGTTCTCCTTCGGTAATGGAGGAACCAGCCGAAAGTGAGAGTGAGCAGTTGAGCATTTCTTTAAACGAAGTGGAACTGGCTGAGCAGGAGTACGGGTTGGCTCAATCGGAACAACACCCTCCTTGGTATCACCACTAGGAAGTAGCTGAGTCACATCAATAACATCGTTGGACTCTATTTTGACGTCCGCAGCAAACATATCCAGGCGGATAGAATGTTCGTCAATGTGTTCCAAGCGTACCTTTCTTACGCGCTACGGTCGCGTCGCGGCTCGCTACAACTCGTCCGAAACTCGTCCATATAAAAAATAAGTTTTCGGTCCCCATTTTTTGAATAGTTCTTCCTTCTACAATATACTCCGATGGAAAGAGAGAACTATAAAATAAAAGTTGGATCAAAATTGAGGAAGTATTACAGGATGCTTCCGAACAACCTTCAGTTCCTTGTTACCTTGGGTCGAGAACACCTGCGAGAACTCCCAATGTAACTATTGAGAGAGAAGATTATGTAGTGATTGATATCGCAATCATCCAGACAGTTGACGTTAGGATAGCATTGTCCGCAATCGCACACGATATGCTTTATCTCACGACGTAAACAGTTTTCGTAGCTATACCTTCAAGTGTATCTGTGTACATATAGGATCTTCCATTTATTGTTCTGGTAATGGTGGCGACTTTCATCAGGATTCAACTGATAGGTTTGGGCTGTTCTAACCGACACAACTAATATACTGTTCGGAATAAGTAGTTTATTCAGCAGATCTAAAATGAGGCTTTTCCAGCAAACCGCTGAAGGCTCGATCCGAGCACTGTTTATATTTACGTAATATTGGTTGCGATCTTTCGGTAAAATGGATCGCTAAATGTCTACATGATGATTCTGCACTGCTCAAGCATGAATTGGCATATTGTCTTGGTCAAATGCAAAACAAAACTGCTGTCCCAATTCTTATTGACGTTCTTAAAGACTCCAAGCAAGGTGTGCAACTCATGTATGTTTCTTCTTTTGAGTCTAGTTCATAGCAGTGATTTCAGAGCCGATTGTTCGCCATGAGGCAGGGGAAGCCCTTGGGGCAATTGGCGACATATCGGCTCGAGAGGTTCTTGAGGAGTATTTGAAGGTAATTTTCTTTTCCGTTGTTTCTGTTCTGTCCATACTTTTTCCAACTTCTCAACTCGAAAGAGTGATGGATTTTTGTAGGATCCTAACCAGGTGATAGCTGAAACTTGTGAGCTGGCTCTTCGAAGGATTGAGTTAGTCAACTCTAGTGGTGATAAGACCGAAAGCCCTTATCAAAGCATAGGTAATTTCGTCTACTCTCCCAGGACTACCACGAACGATGTACAGTTTTAAGATCCAACCTCGACTGCTTCCAGCGATAACGTGGACGAGCTTGGTGCAACGCTAGTGGATAGTTCTAAGCCTCTTTGGGATCGTTATAGCGCAATGTTCAAATTAAGGAATATCAACACGGATGCTTCGATAAAAGCTCTCGCACAAGGTTGTATTTCCAATACAAAACATATTCAATACCTGATCACTGAGTGTTTTAGACACAATAACTTACTCTTTTTTCACGACAGGTTTGTACTCGATTATTCTCTTAATTTAAGGTCTTTACTGTGAAGACAGTGCATTGCTACGACACGAGGTTGCCTACGTTCTAGGCCAGGCACAGTCTCCAGTGGCTATCCAGGAGCTGGAGGATCGTCTGACACTCCTTTCTGAGGTAGAGACTTTTTTGCACACTACCTTTCCAACCTTTTCTTTTTCTCAGAGAGTTAATGTATCCAACACTGAACTTTGAAGTGTTCAATTTTACCGTGATGGAGATGGAAGGTAACTTCCAACTCAAAACTATATCAACCTACAACTTTTTTCACCATTCAATTGTTGTGCCTAAAACCAACAAAATTCCCTGCCAAAGTGTTGCGAATAGGGGACTAGTGTTTTGGAGTCAGAGCACTTTGCAGGAATTGGTGTATAGAGGCGCCAATTTGCTTAGACGCCCAATGTGAATGGTATATTCGTGATCAGTGCACTGAATATCGTCATTACCTAACTTGACAGAATTTTGGTTAAACCAAATATGGCGCCAAAAGTCGACGGCAATGAACACCGTCTTTGTCAGAACACTGAACAACCTCTACTGGGGAAAATTCGACATCTTTGTCGAGATCTGGGCCCATAGTGGTTTAATAAAGCCCTTTTCTTGCATTTGTTGGACCTTTTTTCACAACATACCTCCTCACATTTAGTCTTTTGTTGTTGTGTGAGAAGTGTACAGTACCTGGCACACATGGCTCCATAATCCTTGCTTCCCCATGTGGATCCTTGTCTGTGACTGGCTTTCTGATAGAGGCGCTGTTCTTCTTTTTTCGCGTTGCGCTACACATTCCACTCTTAGCCGGCATCCAATGACGTTATGAATGCGTTCCGGCCTATAAAGTAATTTGTGGTGCGAGACTATGTGTAGATCAGTTTTTATTCTCCCAAAAAGCTCTGGTGTCAGACAGCCGATCCTAGATGGACAGAGGATTTGGTTCACTGTACTGCGTACGACCTTAGATTCTTTGGCCGCGCGCGACACTTTCCATTGTCCCAGTGGCAAAGTAATATTTTTTCCTTTATTTTTTGATATGTTTATGAAACCTATTCTAATTCATCTCTATTCGTTGTTCAGATCTGTTTGCCGCAATTGCGTTTCGTATTTCTACTATTTAGAATTGCATGGTTCGACACGAGTGTGCTGAAGCTCTCGGTGCTATTGCTACTGAACGTTGCACTTCGTTATTGCAAGATTACATCAACGATAAAGAGGTATTTTTTGTGTATTTAGTAGCTTACCCTTAGCAAAGCTGCTAGGTAGCTGTAAAAGCAGTCACTCAGAATCTCATTTGTTGTGATAGTAGGAAAACTACCTGTTTCAGCGTGTTGTTCGGGAGAGTTGTGAGGTCGCCTTGGACATGGCTGAGTATGAGAATAGTGACGAGTTGAACTACGCCACAGTAAAATCGTAAACGAAAAACGAGTCGAGACAGAATTCTATGCATCATTATTTCCTTCCCGTTCTTTTGTGTTGTTCGCGTTGTTTTTGTGTAACGTTTACCGATGGGTTAAACTATCACCTGTGCTCGTGTTAATGTTTGTGCATGAAAATAAATATAAACAAAGTCCTGCTTTTGTGTCTTCGATTCACGTTGCGGTATTGCCCGGTGATTAGAGAACAGTCAGTTTCTTAGAAAAACCTTTGTGATATTATACTTTTTTGATGAGCTGTGATCTTATCTCGTGATACTCGTCGGTGGACTTCCCTAATTCGTGTCTAAAACTTCTTTTTCGTCCGAAGCAAATGCCATTTAGATCTCGTTCCATTTTCTCTCACTGCGGCACGACCCTTCCTCGAATGAAACACGCGTTGCGGCCACTGTTTGGCTCGCCTTAGGCGGCACACCGCTGCTGGTCAGGTTTTTGACATTGTTTGCATTGTCCCGTGTCACCTTCTGTATTATTATTTATTACAGGCAGGGTGAAACTTAATCGGTTATACATGACTTCTTGCACTTCGCCGGTAGGTTTTTTTCTTACGATTGCAGAAATACTTAGTTGATACGGTTTTTACGAGCTGCAAACTGTGACTTGACAGCATAGTTCACTGCGTATCGGCCAGGTTCTATATGCAATAATCTATACTCAGTCTTAAATGAAATTAGCATCTAAGGGCTGTTGGAATACAACTGCATAAGTGGCGGTGGAGGAGAGCGGCTCACTAACTATAGCTTTTTTCCTGACCAGCAGCAGAAGGGGCCAAAATTCCCTATAGTGAAAGAGAGATTCGCCGACCGGAGATGGAGCTTCTTTGCAAAACGTCATAATGGCGGCCAAATCTCGCTGTGTTGCCCGCGGTAACTGCAGTTCGCGTTACGGATGCGCAACCTGCAGGACGGCACAAATAAAATTCTCTCTCAGGCTACTCCATTGATGAGGCTGCATCGCCTCAGAGGCTATTTTTACAGCGTTGTGGCGATTACCCATTAACGCTGCGCAATTCGCATAGTTTTACGATTTAGTCCAGACTGGATGCATAAATTCAATTTGCGACTGCTCATGACAGACTCTTCGCTACGCTACCTGGCGATCACCGGGGCTGTGTGGAACCTCGGCTGAAAGGACTATCGTATTGCTGTGCCTAGGAGGGCCCACATTGTATCGCAAACATATTATGGATGCAAAAAAAGCCTCTGTAGTGTCAAGAGCCAGTAATCATAGGGCGTTCTCCCAGTATTTACTTCGAAATGAGTCTCATTCAGGTAGTGAATTTCCAGGAGCAGTTTTCCATATCTGATGTTGGTCGACTTTATAAAATTCCCAAGGAAGAGGTCGAGGCTTTGGGCTACAAGCGAATGCTTCCACGTTTTCTTGCAAGGCAGTATGATACTCTTGATGAATTGGTGACAATGATAAGAGAGCCACTGGATGAGAGGTATCTTCTCATTAATACTTTACTGCCGCCACTCTAAAGAAATAGAACCGTACAATTGAATTCTTTTCAGGTTCAATGTGCATTGAATGCAGCTTGTGCGGCAGTCATTTTCCGCTCTTCGTCTAGTGCTATCGCCCCTTTCGCGACTGGGAAGTCAGTCACCTTAAACCAAGCGGTTCATCTCGCCTACACAAAAAAGATGGTCGTCATCCAACTGTGGAGTGGTGAGTGTTATACATTTTGTTTTGAATATAGTTCATTTATTCGACGACTCGTGAATGATTCTATTTATTTGAAGCGTTTCATGAATCAAGCTTAGCGCGTAATAAACCCTGGAGTCAACTGATGAGTTAACAGGCACTGTATAAATCGATGCCAAGGAACAGGAGGTGTGTCTGCCCGGAGTTATCTTGACAGCACACCTGAGGATGAGACTGTCACGTCTACCTATCGCACATCTTAGATGTCGGTCAGACTCGGCGATTGCGACGCGATGCATCAGCGACGAGCGACGCGATCGCTCCATCACTTGTAACCATCGCGGTCTCGCGCTCTGAGCCAGAAGCGCAGTGGTACGCGATGCGCAACCTCGTTGCAAGTGCAGCAAGCGACGGCTGGCACTTGGCTCCGCCCAATCGATGCAATCGGCTGGGCGTATCTGATCGCGGGCAGAGCCATCGCCTCTCGCTTGTGCACTTTGCGAGCGATTGTGACGCGATGGACAAGCGATGAAGCGATCGTGTCGCTCCGTCGCTGGTCCATCGCGTAGCAATCGGCCGATCTGACGCGACATCTTATCCGCGCGTCTTGACACAGCACTTCTCACCGTGCCTACGCCGGTGAGCAGCGATAGTATTTATCGTCCCACTAGCTCATTTTTCCTCTCATCAGCCACTTTTCAAGGCTCTAGCATCATTGCCTCGCACCTCTGACTTGTGAGCCGCGAAAACGACATATTTGTGATTCCTGGGCAACATGATCTTACCCACAAAAGATCGCTCCACTCGACCTTATCTGAGGTTGTTGCTTTAGGTAGATCCCATTAAGATACTTCATCAATCTTTTGGAGCTTCAAACACGGACGGCACATTGCTATTGGTCTTCTATTAGATTTTTTTCAGCAATGTTGCTAACGCGCGATGTGAACGAAGTGGAGATGTCCACGTTCAAACAAGGGCGTATTAATGATCCTGCAAATGCTGTCGCTATTCTTCAGCAGTTCAAAGAACAGGCAGGTCCCTTTTTGAAATAAATGATATTTTTGTTTCATCCAATGTCGCTTTCATGCATTAAACTAATACTTGGCGTACCTTCGTACTTCACGGACCACCGTAGTACGTGTATCTCCAATTTTTTACCGAAAAACTGTAACCATCCATTATTTCGTCGATATTCCACTACTTCTATGTTTTTGTAATGAAATTTTGGAGCATGAAAATAGACAAAAAAGTGCAAGCGGATCTCCTCCATGTGACTGCGAAAACCTTGAATGGAGAAAATACGCTTTGTTTGGTCGAGGTGTTATGGATAGATTCACTATCTCTGTTCGAAATTCATTTACTGTAGTAATGACGTTGCTCCCTGTGATTTGGCCTTTAGAATCAGCACGTTTGGAAGACTCTGAGTGAACTCAAGACAGAAACGCGACTATGTATGGACAAGAAATGAGCGTACAGCAGTTGACAAGCCCATAACAGACATTGTTGAAATTGTATGTTCCGTTAATTTATCTCATAATTTACTAATACACCAGTCATTGTTAACGGTTTATTTCAAGTGAACTTCCACTGGCCACTGTCTTGGTGTTCTAAAACGGGGGGGGAAGGTTAGCTACAGTTAGCTCACTTCAACCACTCTTGATAACCCTGCTTATCGCGCCTGCTCGCTTATGTACCTATTTGTGTTCTCTACCCTCACACTGGTCTGAGACCACAGGGAGCACATCGTGCCGAGCTTTTTAAGGACCAAGGGAGACTAAGATAGTGGGTTTTCCATTTCTCGGCGAAGACGTGCAGCATACACTCCTGCAACTCAGGTTAATGTCTGTTTTTAGCACCGCTCGTTTATTGTGCGCATCGTCAGACGCTGGAAGAGCTCGCTTACCAGGGAGGTCGTTCAGGACGTGGAACGCTTTTTCAAAGCGGTTTGGTGCATGTTATAGTGGTGGATGGGGGGGAAAACCAAGGGTGTCATAAATGACGTGATGAAGAGGTCCCAGGTTCGATCCCTCCCGGAGACATTTTTTTGCATTTTGTGTTGGCCTTTCAAAATTTGCGAAAAATGGCGTCAGCGTGAACAAGAGGTGTCATATTTATAATCAGGACCATCAGCAACCTTTATACATAGACTATGACTAAAAAACTGGTGAAGAATGTTGCGACACCAAAACGTTCGCTGATGTGGCGCCCAGTGGTCTCATAGTGACCTCAGGGGGCCTCAGCACGCATACACGGCACAAACGACGTAAACAATTTGATAACGCTCTCTATACCCCAAGTTTCAGAGAATTCAAGATTTCGACCCAACTTCGAACAGTTGACCATGGGAGATCAGTAGTTCGCCAGGTGCATGGTCTAGAGGCAATCTCCCGTCGTCACCTCCTCAAAATGAGAGTAGTGCCCTATAAAAGTGCCTTTCCGTGTTAAATGCTAGGACGCACCCCAACATTTCCCGTCGAGCTCGTCTTCAACCCAACCGGGTATACAACTGATTGTACCTATGGGGTCCCATACTTCGAAGTTACGTCGAAATCTTGTTCTCGTTGTTTTATCCAGAACTCGGGTACAAGAGTGAAGCAATGCTGCATCACAATGTCCAAACTTCGTGTATATTCAATGTACGGCTAACGAGAGCCTCTTGAAATGACAGTAGCCAACGGTTTGGACGACCTACCCCACAATGGAGCAATGAAACGCCAGTCCCTTAAGAACTTTTTCTTTGCTCTTTTTCTTTTATTCATAGGACCGTTCAGCAAAAATGGAAGCATAGTTTTGTGCTCTATACTTGTACCAGAGTCAACCCTGCGTTGCGCAGTTCTCAACGGCCACGTTGCGCAGTTTCGCCCGATTAGACACGTTCTCTCGCGCGAACATTCACACTCGCATGCTCGAGCCGTCTGTGTCTCCGCCCATACAGCGTGCGTTGAGGATCTCTCAACGTGCCGTTGCGAACTGCGCAACGCAGGGTTGACTCTGCTTGTGACCACTGATAGTAGGAGAGCAAAAACCGTTATTTCAAAAGGCTCCAGCGTCTGAAACGACCTCCTCGTTAGTTCATACATGGCGTCCAGATGGATTTGGTCCCGTTGTCACATCTATCCCAGGACGGTTTGATCCTGGTCGCAAGCATGTGTTGAAGCCGAAATAGACGGAGACAGTCTGACATTGAGCGCTTCGTAGAGTATAAAATGGGGCAAGATTTATAAAGAGATAGGTTTGACCCATCGCAAATTCCACTCTTTTCTTTCGTGTTTTCCTAGTATTTAATCCGCTTTTAAGGGATTATCGGCGCCATTCCTTGCCACTGATTGTGTGTGGAGCTTTTGTTTCGGGAGTTGAAACGACATTCGTCTACCGCCAGTATAACTGTCAGTTTCAGAATTTTTCAAGGGAAATCAGAATTTAGTCTTTCATGAACAATAATTTTTTTATTTAGCTGTTTGTTGCTATTGACGACACGAATTCTCTCTGGGGTAGACTTTGGTCAAAAAAGCTGACAGGAGCTATGTAAGTTAACAGTGATCATTTCGTCGGTCTCGTTGATTTTGCATTCTAATAATCTGCGTTCTGCACATTTGCGTTTCAGGCCTCCCCTTCTGATCTCACTCTCGTGAACCATTATAGAAACTTGATCGCTCCAGGATGGGTGAGACGTGTTCCATTCGATATCACAACTTGAACTCTTTCCAAGGTCTTTTCGCTCTGTGATACCATTTTTTAAGCAAAACGGATGTATTTTGTTGGTAGCTGACAAAAAAGAGGTGTCGGATGCTCGGGATCATGTCACTGTTCCAAGACATACTCCTTTGGAATTGTTCGGAGAAGAAGGATTCCATTTCATTGAGGTTTCTCAATTCGATTCTAAATTTTGGTCCTTTATGTTACTCTGGTCATTGTTTCACCAATATGCACAGTTACGGTTTTCAGCCCTTTCTACCAATCGAAACTAAACAATACACGAAAGGAGAAGTCAGTAACATGTATCAGTATTACTACGATAAGAGGTGGCTTACAACCGAAAACGGTATGTTCCGAAGCAATTAAGGACATAAGAAAATTTTAGTTATTGATTTGTATTGTTTGTTAACTGCTGCTTTTCGCCACATCTCACAGCTAACAGCAACGAAACTATTGGTAATATTGAAAGACTGCGGAAAAGCAAACAAACATCTAAGATTGAGCAATCATTGGCAAACGTTCTCCCTTTTACCTTCTCTTCTCAGGCGGGAATTTAATTCATAACTCATAATTTCCGGGTAGTTGTACTTCCACGGCATCGTTGCATGCTATCTTAGCTCTCACCATCAGTTATCATAGCTCATGAGTGTGAGTGCTGAAACGGAGCTATGATAAATATCCATCAAAATCATAGTTGAAGTGAATTGGGGGCATGGCGGTGTTATCGGTTGCGCATAAACTGTCCTAAAGTAAGAGATGCGGGCTTGGTTCTCACCCGCGCCAGAAGATTTTTCTCGAATTCAGCGCCCATGTGATGAATGAGAAAATGTTGATTTTTGGTTTTTTGTTTGCTTTCCCGCAGTTTTTCTCCATCATTATAACATGACCTTTCTTTCGCGGAACTACAAAAAAGTTGCGTTTTGACTTTTTAGGCCGCGTGGTACACGCGAACTTTGCCGACACGGCCAACCTACCCTTAGCTTCGTGGGTTAGAGATAGTGATGCAAGACATGAATGGCCTGAATGAATTTAAGTCAACTTTAATGCATAGGATTCTCCGAGGGCATAGCAGGATAGTTTCGATCGGAGAAGTGTAATAGCAAAGTAAAACCAAATTTTACTTGCTCACGCTGTAGAGGACGTTACACTCATTTTTGAGCTGGTTGTTCCAATGAAACCATATATTTGGCGATCCGTGTAGGTTTATGTTGACCATTATCTATCTACTTGTCTATGAGATTGAAACGTAAACGAGGAATGAACCGGATTGGATATCTCATATGTGGGAAACCTCTTTAAAGTGAAGTATTATATATTTGACCATAATGCGAACCACGTCATTCATTGTTATACTATTTCGTGATCTATAGAATAAATCTAAACAAGTTGGGAAGAAGTAACGCACATGCGAGAAAACGGGTGACATAAGTGCGACGCGCAGCCGCGTCACAATGTCCCACGTGGTCTGCAGTGTTAGACACGCATACGGTG